CATGCACTAAAAGCTGCACACTGCACGTAACCCTAAACGAGGACGCCAGGTTTTTGAATTTTTCCTTTTTTCAAGTGTTTTTCGTTGTCTTTGTTGTTTTTCATATTCTTTTCTTTGAATTGGATGTTGTCCACTACTGGGAAATGCCATAAAGCGATTTGTGAGCCAGGGGTTGCCCACGGACCGCAGGGCGGTGTAACTGTAAGGGAGCAATTTTGTTTGTGGTGTTCTTGAGGGCTCTTGTTGCTTTTTTCCTTCATTGAGGAATTACTTATCAGCTACTGTTTCATAATTGATCAGCAATTATCCTTGACACTTTTATCGCGTGGAGCTGTCTTTGAAAAATCCTTCAGCCGAGACAGTGGCTTCACTATATTGATGCTTGTTGTGACTGGTATGTAGCCTGCGATTGCATGTCACAACTATGATTTTGCTCGCAATCCACAGCACAGTAAGTCAGTAGAGAATAAGGCCGAAACCGCTATAATTGACTTTGTCCTCTTTGTTCGTAAAGAGTTCAAAAAAGAAAATTAATGAAATTTTATAGCTCGTTCAATAATGCGTAGATGCTGTTGTTGCGGTGTTTGAGTGCTTTTGAACTACTATATTTGGGATTTATTTGTCCTCGTTTTTAGTTTTCAGTTTCGGTTTTCAATCATCATTTAGATAGCTTTCTAGAGCGATTAATCGTGATGACTCGAATGATGTGCTGAAATTCCATATGGTAGAGGATAACTTATCTAAAGGAAGCTCTGAACGACCTGATTCTCCTCCACCGATAATTAATGCAGACAAAATGATATATTACTGTGGTTTCAATCAATATTACCGAGATCTTCGAGATGTTAGTATTTTTCTGGTATCTCGCTTCGCATGCTTAGTGATATCTCACTTTGAGCTCTTATTACAGAATTTGTGGCCTTATATTGCGTAATTTTGCAGGTAGAGAATTTTCGCGTGCCACCTTTTCAAGAGTTCGTTGCATTCCACCAAGAAACCTTGAACAATATGCATGCAATGAAGCTTGAAGAACGAAGAAGAAAACGCGAGAGGGAAGCTAGATTGGCGAAGAAACGGTGTGATGGTGAGTAGGGTCCCTTTTCCCGATTCTCTACCTCGAAGACTTACTAAGTGAAAGGGTTATGATGATTTCTGGTTGCTCCGCTTGTTCACACAACTTCGCTTCAGCTCTAGCATTCTGATTTGCCCACAATTTAAGATACTTTTGTGGTTAGTAGACCGTGTGGTAGCTGCTATCACTGGATTAGGTTTTGTGAACACAAATTTCATTCAAAACAGCGCGGTCATGCCGATTTCTAGCTGTTTTTTATACGTGAACGGATCCAGATTTTTTATTTTTCGTTTTAGAAATGATAGAAGATGGGGAAGTAATCGTCTTGGATCCACCGCCACCACCTCCTCCTGTGAGCGATAACGATGATGATGTGATTATAATAGATTGCGAACCAAGAAAGGTGTGTCGACTTTTGAATAAGCGATCCTACTTTTCTACTTTTAATGTGGGCGAACGTCAAGGAGTTTTTTCTTCTCTTTTATCCTCATGATTCCTAATCGTGAAGTTTTTGATGCTCAGGAATAAGACATTCACCTGCTTCTGAGCCCAGCAGTATTCGCGGCTGTGTTTTGACTAGGTTTTACTGCTAGGCTTATGGATGGGTAACACTAATTGTCGCCTGTTGCTGAACAGGTTTTGCTTCATAGGTTTTCGTTATTCTAATGGTAATATCAAGATTTTCGATCCTTGAAACGAAACATTTTATCATTTCGTAACCGATAAGTGAACAATTCTATCATTGTGATGCTAAAAACTATTCATTTCATGCTGAAAATGTTTGCTATTCATAACATTTTATACGAAACAAAAAAAAACACTGTGTAAAAGCGTTGAGTATAAAAGAGATCCAATCAAAAAAATCTTATGATTTTTGTCGTTTTGAGAACTAGCCATAGCACAAGCATCTTTCCTCAGCCATTCTTCTCAAAGATAGTGAACGGGTTCAGAGCCACGAAATTGTGCCGCTTTGGCACCCCGAAATCCGTGGGAGATATTCGGAGGGTAGAAGTGGCTGGAGATTATTGTATAACTCCGCACGCGCATTAACCAACACGCCACGCGACTGCCGTTACGTCTATCCTAGCCAAACGCTTATCCCACGCTTAGTTGAGGTAGGGAGGGAGGGGGCATTGTTCTTTACATTTTCTTGGAAGGTTGTGAACACAGCCGCTGTGAGCTTAGTATCAAAGCAAATGCTGTAGGTCATGGATAGCATGTGTAGGTCTAAAAGAACATGCAGATATTCCTACCCTCCATCCTCTTCATTTCCGCACTTTTGCGGCCGACGAAAGCAGCTCTTCTACACCTGTCCCGCGCATCCACTTACCCGTCGTTTACTTACCTGCGAGGTGGTCGCAGGTAAGTGGACGGCGTATCTAAGAAGCGGATCTTGATTAAGACGTGTTGAGAACAATTACAGATTCATTATTTCAGACTCCATCACCTCCAGTCGAAACGTGCGACACACCAAAGGCAAGTTTCATGTGTTTTCAAAGCCAGAATCCCAACTCTCATTAACACTTCGTTGTATCGGCCGAGAGCAGTCATATAGTATTTGTCGATGGTGAATATTTCCAGGGCTGTTCGACTGGTATTATGTTGGGCACACCTGTATTAACTCGCAGGCGGAATGGAGGAGAGTGCGATCTGACTGATGAAAAGAAGCCGTCGTTAGAGAGTTTCAGTAAAGGAATTGTTCCTTTCGAAGCTCACGAAGAGGATACACCACACAAAGGATTCTTGAAGAAAATTATGTCTAAACTGAAGAAGATTACTCGATGATGTTAGTTTTCGAAACACAAAGTTGGTTCATTCTTTGAAAGGTTGAGAATGAGAGGTTAATGTGAAACAACTCGGCGACACTTACTACCTCCATATTTCCTTGTCATCCTGCATATCGGCGTTGAATGGATCTCCGTTTCGATGGGTTGCAAAGTGAGAGTCATTCTAAGTTGTGTGCATCACTCTGCATTTTTTTTTTGAATTGCTCGAGTAAATGCTAACAAGCGGGTCCCATTCGATTGCTGATCTTTTTTTGCGATAGACTAGGAATAGGCATGGCTATGTTGTGCCTGGGTGCTTGTTAAGTTACTAATAGTAATCAGATTTGTTGAGTGGTAAGTAGATTGTTGCGGAAAGTAAATTTCGACTTCTATAGAAATCGTCACATTCGATATTTTGGATTTGGTTTTCTCATTTGATATGAAGGTGGCGTGTGCCACCATTAGCTAGCTCTAAATATGAAATTTGTACGGAATAAATGTTAATATGGTGCTGTCCCGGAGCCTCATTGTAATCTGAACATGAAACACGTAAAGAGGCGCCAAAAATTTATTGCAAAAAACTCAAAAGATTCAAAAGAATTCAAAAGTTCTCGCAAATACCTTGTTTAGCGATGTGAAATGCTATAGTTCAGATCGATAAAGAAGGTGCTAGGCACCGAAATATTCGAAGGAAGTATTAGAACAATTAAAATTTTTTGCGAAGAACTTTTGGATTCTTTTGAGTCTTTTGAGTTTTTTGCAATAAATTTTTGGCGTTTCTTTACGTGTTTCATGTTCTGAATAAATGTTATTTTATGAGCATCTCATTAAGTGTGAAATATGTGTGCAACTAGCTATGAAGTTAAGTACTGCTCATGGAAAACAGTGTAGATAGTCTAATTAACATGTTGCTAGAAATGGAGCTGAAAGGATCCCTTTGGTATAAGGGCTAACAATCTGCCCACAAACATCGTCAATAAGTCAAGAAAGTTCCTTGAAAATCAAACTTGGGTGACCTGCTGAAAGTGAGAACCAGGGAAGTATTGATTGCACTAATTAATGCTCTCACAGCATTTGATCCTAAACTTTTGGCACCTATCCAGAATAGGTACCTCAAGCAATACGTTAACTTTATTAGCCAATATTGGCTAATATTTCCGATATTTTATTTTCAAACTGTTTATTATGTGTTTAGTTTTCAGTTTCTGACGTACCTTTCATAAGTATCCAGGGCATGGTCCACGCAAGTAGATTACTTGCAGAAGTCTGGGAACTCGCTACAAAATGGCTGAACGTCCATTTTGATTACGCCTCCATCAGTGAAGTTCCTCCACATGGTGAGACAAAGACTGAAGGAGGTGTTGTTGCACCGTGTGGTTCAGGAATAAGTCCCACTATTCATTGCCAAATCTGGTATTGACTGTAATCGTAGCGAATAGAGATACAAAACTTTATTAGTCCTATAGAGGTACTGCAAGTTCCACTGTGATTGCTGGACGTGAGGATCAAATGAATTTGTCTGAACTGGAAGGATGTAAAAACAGTAATAAGCCTCCCTTTATATACCATTTTCACTTTAAATTCGTCCTTTTTCAAACCAAATTCGTCCTTTTTCAAACCAAATTCGTCCTTTTTCAAACCAAATTCACCCTCACTCTTCATCAAGAACCACACTTATTAGGGCGGGCAACTCATCAACCAGATCACGCCAGACATCACTGCGAGCCCCGCCCCGACGGCCACGCCCACTTGTCAGCGCGGACATAGAGATTCTGACAAATCTGTTTATACGTCTTGCATTCTCCTGTGTTCCCACCAAACCATTGACTGCTGACAACCACCGTGCATTCGCCACATGGCACGACTCCGCCCCATCTCTAAAGGGTTTTAGCACTCTAGGGCCTGACCACCGCCATGCGCTTTTTCAGCGGAATTTCCGCGATGTTTCCCAAAATTTTTTGCAGATTTAGGCGTTGTTCGCGTGAAGCCCCGGCCCTTTCCGTGGAGGACGCCTCCGCCCACTTTGAATAAGCCCCGCCCACTTTTCAAAAATGGTGCAGATCGGCAGTATAGAGACTTGGCTTGCATGTTAGGGTCTCGTACGTCACTCGGAACAAGAAAATCCGGCAAAGTTTATTCCGAATGATCAGCAATACACTAACATGCAAGCGCCACAGTTCTCTATCCCTGCGCATCTGCCACCAATCTTCTGAAAAATGTGGCGGGGCTTATTCAAGTGGGCGGAGCATCTCACAGAGGGCCGGGCTTCACAATATGCAAAAAATTTTGAAAAACATCGAAATTCCGCGAAAAGCCAGTGGGCGTGGTCAGCCTAGAGTGCCAAACCCTTTAGAGAATGGGCGGAGTCGGCCATGTGTGAATGCACGGTGGTTTCCAGTCAAAGGGTTTGTGGGAAACAGCAAAAGCAGAAGTTATGAAACAAGATTTGAGAATCTATGTCCGCGCTGACAAGTGGGCGTGGCCGTCGGGGCGGGCTCGCAGTGATGTCTGGCGTGATCTGGTTGATGAGTTGCCCGCCCTATAGTTGTGGCTTCTTGATAAAGAGTGAGGCGTGTGAATTTGAGTATTGAAAAAGGACTGGATATTTGTGTTTGAAGAGGGACGAAATTTGGTTTGAAAAAGGAACGATTGGTTTGAAAAAAGGCGCCAGCGAATTTAAATGTGAAAATGGTATAATATAGTAATGGTTCGCTGCGGACGGTTGGGCGTGTCCGTGCGGCTGCGCTTGGCGCGGCCAAAACTCGTTCTACACCAGTTGTTGAAGCGGGCAAGTGACAATACTGTATCATATCCTTCGTATTACTAGTCTTCTACCACTTTTTGTCGCAGACGCTCTTCAACAAGAAGGCAGAGAACGGCTTTGATAGGGTGACACACTCATACTGGCTGACACGCCCAACCGTCCGCAGAGAACTATAGTGTACACTACCGTAGATATTAGGGTGTCCGGAAAGTTTTGAGAAATTTCAACCAGCTCATCCAACACTTATCAACAACAATAAGAGATAGCAGTTCATAGTTATAATCAATTATAATCAACCAATCGGATCACCCGGCTGCCGCCGGGTGCTCCTCCTTCTTTGTCACGGCCCGGCTTCGCCGGGCCGGCCTGGCTTCGCCAGGCACTCTTTCCTTAGGCGAGGTAGAGTGTGCAAAATACGCCTAACCGTCACAGTGCATTTTCCAGCAAAATGTAGAAAAATAATTGAAAATAGCTCGAGCAATGGGTTAAAGTTGAATCTGGCCAGAGGATCGTGCAACATACAGCGCTTTGTTACTTCCGAAATTCTAATGACATCAAAAGAAAGAGCCTGACGCCCCTTATCCAATCTTATCAGATGCTGGCAGTTTTTGTCACCAACCTAGTGTTCCTTTCCTAAACCCTACATCGTATCTTGGAACCAACCTCCTACTGTTGCTGTGACTCGCGTGATGGACTCAGTGACCATACCCTTCTAACATCCCTCGAATCTTATCAGCAGCTGACAGTTCTTGTCATCCACCAATAATGTTCCTGTCCCATACCCTAATCATATGTTGGAATCAACACCTGGCTGATGCTGTGACCCGCATTACGAATATGAGAGTTCCATTCTGAGGCCTCTTATCAGATATTATCAACTGATATCACTTCCTATCCACCAATAGTGTTCCCGTCACACCCTCTACGTCACTTCTTGGAACCAATATCTCGCTGCTACTGGGACCGGCGCTATGAATTTCGTGTCAAAGAGACAGACGCACACGCACGGACATAGTCGATTATATATGGTAGAATTGTAACCGTTGTCCCAATGTAGCGCTGAAATCTATCCTTTTGTCCATTCTTTTCTCGGGGTTAGTACCAAAAATCTCCATAACCCTCACACGAAAATTCAGTAACCTGTAAGAGCAGCCTTCGAAGCATCCTACCGCTCAATGCGTTCTCCACCACTGTAGGGTTTTTTTTCTGGAATGCACTCCCGCATTCGGCAGTCTTGCGCTTCGAATGGTCCTCTCTCGGTTGTTGATGGAAGATAATCATGGTCATAGTGATAAAGTTAGTTGCTGCAGTTCATGGCAACTGAGTAAACAATGCATCTGAACTCCAGTTGCTTTAGCGGCCGTACATGATGTCGATAGCGGTAAGAGCATAGGAGTGAGTTGTGTACGAACTACTGAGAGCCTGATACCTGTCATATCAATCGCATTGTGGCAGTAAGCGGTGTTGCGGATTCCCGCATGATGACGCTTTCAACCCTTATCAGTTGCTGTCACTTAGTGTCACCCGTCAGTGGGTTCCCGCCCTCCTCCCCTATACCACTTCTTTGAACCAAGGTCCCACAGACCCTGCAAAGTTGGTGACCCTCCGCATCTAAGGCCCCTTATCGAATCTTATTATCAGCTTCTGTCACACACCAATCATGTCCACTTCCCTTACCCTATACCACATCTTGAAATCAAGGTCCCACGGTCGCTGCAACCTGCGCTAAGAATTTGGTGACACCCGCGTCTAGGGTCCCTTATCGGATCTTATCAGCTCCTGTCAGCCACCACCCTACCGTGTATATCACTTCTTGAAATCACGGTCCCGCAGCTGCTGCAACTCGCGCTACGATTTCGGTCACCCTCCCCTTCTAAGGCCCCCGAATCTTATCAAGTGTTATCACCTCCTGTCACCCATCAAAAGTGTTCCCGTCCTGCCATGTATATCACTCCTTGAAATCACGGTCCCGCAGCTGCTGCAACTCGCGCTACGATTTCGGTCACCCTCCCCTTCTAAGGCCCCTTATCGAATCTTATCAGGTGTTATCACCTCCTGTCACCCACCAAAAGTGTTCCCGTCCTGCCGTGTATATCACTTCTTGGAACTGTCATCCTATCTTTTCTGCGACGCTCGCTATGAATTTCGTGACAGACAGACAGACGGACACACACGCACGGACATAGCGGATTATATGTAGTAGGATAATTAATAAAATAAATAATAAGTTAATAATTAAAATAATTATAACTAAA